TGTGTGTGTGTGTGTGTGTGTGCATATTTACACACAGAAAGATCATGTGTTAAACAAAGATGGAAAACCATATATTCACAACCAGGAAATGGTGCAAAACTGTAGAGAATAAAGTAATGACAAACATTTTTTAGAAATAAAATCATGAAAGGGAGACAAGTACTGAAATGCCCTATTAGTCCCTTTGAACACTCTCACAGAACTTTGAACATCTCACAGAACATATGTTCAGCAATCCTCTTTAAAAAAAAAAGCAAAAATACAAAAACCATGGCTTTCAGCCTTTACTAACTTAGCAGAGCAGATGTGAAGGTTTGAATCTGAGTGTTTTGTAAAAAGTGTTTTCATAATGTTTTTTGTTGTTGGCATTCATATAAATATACTGGTATGTGATAACTTGGTATACTTTTGCTTGGTTTTTGGTATATGTCTATTTGGAATTTATAGTCCCCCTTGGAGAAAACTCCACCAGCTGCCACTGATCTGAGGGTAGTTTTTCAAGACCTTTACTAACTTATTCTAGTCCGCCATGGCAGTAAATGTCTTGAATCCAACATGTGGTCTGTATTTAGACATTCTCTTCAAATTTTTCCTCCCATGACATTCTATCGAAATAAATGCTCAGAATAGGTTTTAATAATTTGAGGAAGTGAAAAGCTCAATTTGCATTCCTGTGGCGAGTTGAGATTTTGCAATACATTAGTTTCCAATCTCACTGAATCTCATTTGTACTGTTTTTGATTAACTAAGTTTGCTTTTTATAGTTTTAAACCAAAAAAGCATGAAAGAAAACATGTTTAAAGCATACAGACATTTATATATAAGAAACCCTTTAGATTTAAATAGCACCATTTTACATTCCAAATGCATTTTAGTTGGTAAGTATATCTACAAGCCTCCTGAATTACTGCAAAACAGCCTACTGTTACTTATTGTGAAAGTGAGGGCGAACTTTCACCTGTGTACAAGGGAAAGGATAGCTCCTCCCTCATTGGCTAACCCACTTCTTCCACTTCTGCATTTTGCACTGTTGATTTTTCCACATTTAAACCTCTATAGAGAAAGGAAGTTAAAGTTTTCTGCTACAAATCCAAGCTTCTTCATTTAGTAAAAAAAATGAGCAGCCTACCTCTTCAGGTCAATGTGGAGAACTGGATCACTGAAAACCAAAATGCTTTCCTGCCTCCGGTTTGCAACAAGCTCATGTGAGTAACATGCATTTTCTTTAACATAAAATCTGTTTTACCTTTAAATTAGTTCTTTGGGAGGTTGACACCATGTCATATATTGTGCACAGACATGCAGTAACCTGGCTAATTTTGATTTGTGCTTTTCTCAGGCACTTTTCCCAGTTGCTCATCATGTTTGTCGGTGGCCCTAATACAAGGAAGGATTATCATTTAGAGGAAGGAGAGGAGGTAAGAAATACAAGTACATAAATCCAGCCTTAGCTGTCTTCACTCAAATTGACAAGCTTTTCCTCCCCCCTCACTCTGTTTACCTCATCTTTACCTTATCTTCATTAAGCTGGGCAAATTCCACCCCACAGCTGTAATGCTGACAGAGTGTATCTTGGCTCAGTGCCTCTAATAATTTTTGCTGGATTCTTCCTGATGGTGGCATCCTTTGCTGTCTAGACCTGCACAATTAGGCTTATTAAAGCTTTTAATCTATCATCTGATAACCATGTGCAAAAGGTTCTTACTCAATACTGATCCTTGATACTTGAAACAGCACAGAGCAGGCCTCTTGTCACAGATGTTGTAATTAACATTTGTGTGATTTGCAACACTGGTGTAATATTAAATATATCAACAATTACAGTAACAAAAACAATTGCCTGGATAATGGATGCTTTCATTGAAAGATTTAAATCAGAGATTTAGAAACTGAAAACTCATTAACCTTTCAATTTTAGATTAATTTACCACGAGTCAAAAACAATCACACTTTCATAAAGAATGAAAAACACACAGACAATAATGATTCTATGATCATTAAAATACTTAACATCATAATTATCATATGCAATCATACAATGCACCATAAAATGCAATTATTTTATTTTATCACACAAAGGTATAGCAATGACCTAATTAAGCTATAGGACAAATACATTAAAAACAAATATACTAATGTTAACAAATATGTTGTCATTAGACGCGGTGTTCAGATCCATTCTGGCATAAGGTTCAGGGTTAATTACAATAACAAAGAAAACGTTTAAATTATTTTCTAATGGAATTCGTCTCTGTTGTATATGAATACAAGGAGCAGTGTAGTAAAAAAGGAGAAAGGTGGAACAAAAATGCACCAGCAGAAGCAACTTCATAAATTTTGTGCCAGATTCATCAGGGAGAGATGGAGAAAAGGAGGATGTGGGTACAGCTAGACTAAGGACACAGTGCTGGAAAAAGATTTTCCAGAGACCTTCTCTTTCAACTGAGTTAAACTATTATACAATGATTTTAATTTTGCATTGTACTGACAAAATGTACTGATGAAAAAATTAAAATGATTCTGTTATACCAATGTGTAAAATGTAACAAGATGAGCGACCGTGATGTTTCTGTATTGGGAATGAACAATTGATAAAAGGCTTTGTGAAAAACCAGAAATACAGATTAGATATGAAATGCAGCCATATGAAGATAGGGCCAAACTAAGGTTTATAGAGAAGCTGGTTCTATCAACACATAATATTAAGAATGAATGAATGAATGATGATCATTTTCAAATTATTAACTGTTAAATCATTAGACCGTTCATTTTTGAAGGCAAGAATTAGTCAGTGTGTGTTTTACGTCCTAAATGGACAGGTTGTAGGATAACCGGCAGACCAAATATGGCCTTCATGGGCTGGACGATGAGTCTAGACCTTCAAAGTCCCTAAAAGGAAATATATTGCCCCCTTTACCAAGAAGATGGGTTCCTGTTTTTGAACAGGTTTAAAGGGACAAGCTTTTGCTCATCTGGTCAGATCTGCATTCTAGCTGCCACACTCCTTAAGAAAGGAGTTTTCCAGGCACAAAAAGGAGACAGAAAAAGGAGAAAAAGAAGAAGCAGAAGAAAGGTTTGAAATCCAAATACTAAAGCAGAAAGGAGCCAGAATGTGTAGGGAAAGCAGATATATCGCCCAGGGGTCAGCTTTAGACATATTTTTTAGGCTTTCCTCATACATATGGCTGAGAAAAATGTGGAAACTCATGGGTTCCGATAAAGGAAAATTCCTTTAACAAAATATTGTTTTTACCACAAAACACAGAATTGTTTAGCTTTCAAATACTATTGGGTTATGTCAGCTGAGGTCAGGACCAATGTACAGTGTAGGGGTCCCAGCTGTGACTGAGATTTAACAATGTAACTGAATAAAGAAAATCTAGATCAACAAATGCACGTTAATGGGTATAAAAACAAAGGCCACATTTTATATAAAAAAATTAACATAAATAGAAACTAATAATTTTAACAAGTTGTATACACCCTAAAGCATTAAGTTGTCCATCAGCAGCAGCAAATGAAAAATGTAAAACTAAAGGAAAAAAAAAACATACACTTATTAATAACAGTTTAATAAATAGGAAATGTAGGATTAAATTAAATGTGCAACTGAATAGAGTGATTTATGTGCACAATGCTAATATATAATTGTGCTAACAAATTCAGAGTATTACATTTTCCGTTGCTGCAATTTTTCAACAAAGTCTTTCATGAAAAATAATTTTTAATCTAAATGAATTAGATTAGATTAGACAGAACCATATTGATCTCACAAAGGAGAAATTAACTTGTGACATTGGCTCTTAAAAACACAGAAGGTGCACAAAGGAGGAAAAGATGCATAAAGTATAAACAGTGCAGCCAGATATATACAATGGATGGTGGAAAAAAATAGAGATTTAAAGTGACTTATACAGTATATAAAGTATCTTATGCAATCTTATGAAGAGTAGAAAAGTGTTCAAATAGCAGCAAGGATGTAGTTTGTTTATTTAGCTTGTTGGAAGCAGTAATTGTTAGATAATTTAACAGCTGCAAGAAGAAAGGAATCTGTAACAAGAGGCCTTCATGTACCAATATGGGGCATTTTTCTTTGAAAGTGGTCTGCAGTTTGTGACAGCTTTATGGGAGAAATTGGGAAATTCTGCCCAAGAGTTATGGTATTTTATTAGGTTGCAAAGTTAAATGTTTTTCAGGATGATTTAAAAGACCTAGGAGGAATGGAGGTCTTGCTTGTGAAAGGTCAACTGCGATGTGTTCATATTCTCTACACAGTCCCCGGCATGTGCAATCACAGCTTCTATATCATGGCATTTGACCGAGTTCCTATCTTTTTCTGTTTGAAATAGTTATTTTTCCAGCTAAAGGGTGACATGTGTCTAAAGGTTATAGAAAACGGCAAACACAAGGATGTACACATCAAAGAAGGCGAGGTAAGCCCTGACACACATCTGATTTTGCTAAGCCTTTACTCTTTATAGAGGGAACTCACATACATGATGATTTTTGCCGCTTCAGGGTATTTTTTGAAGCCAACGTCAAGTTTTTTTTATTTCTTTATTTCTATTTTTTTTATCTTGTAGATGTTTCTGCTTCCAGCTCGAATCCCTCACTCTCCCCAGAGACAGGCCAACACAGTTGGACTGGTGGTGGAAAGACGACGTCTGCTGACTGAAACTGACTGCCTAAGGTTTTGCCTTTACTCCTTCTCCATTCCTCTTACATTTTTATTCTTTACAATACAGAGGGATTATTTATACAGAATCAAATATATGCATATATTTCACAATATTCCGATTTCTGAATATTCTACAATGTATAATTTCTGGTGGGGGAACATTATTAACTACAGCTCGACATGGAAAGTATTTTTTTCCCAACTAGAACAATGACAGGTTCCAAGAAAAATAGTGAGGCTCTCTAAAAGATAGAGTTACACAAGTTGTTAAAGACTGGTGGAGCAATTTATAAACAAAGTTCAAAATATTTAGATGTGTCACCATTTCTGAAGATCAGGAAAAAGCCTGTCTCAAAGGAAAGGAAAGGTATTTTAACATTTTGTCGCAACAGAAACCATCAAGTTCCATTTCTGTGCTCATTTAAACAGAACATAAGACCTCTCTCTAATCTGGACACTTCAGATTTGATTGAAACGTGTAGCATCCCTATCTGAAAATATGATGCTTCCGTAAATTAAAGGTATTGTGGAGGGTGTTCTTTTTCTGGGTGGATCATCAAAAGAAGTGGTCTTCCTTATTTTCAATCATCATGATGATATGTTAACGTGAGGCTGTCCTACGTGCTTGTCCTAATTTTCACTTACTGGTGCTGAGTCTAACATTGTGGAAAAATTGCAAATCTTCTTTTGGAAAGTAAGCTTGTATGAGTGATGCAAACAGCAACTTTTAAACAGAGGGTGCACGAGGACGAAATAGGCTTGTGCATGCTTTTGCATGTGCTTAATAGGCGTTCCCTCTTGGGAGCGGGCACAGGGTTGTGCATGTGCATTTTTTTGTGGAGAGGGTTGGTCTCTTCAGAAATTTTTGAAAATCCTCCACAATACATTTAAGCAGAGACAAATAAAAAGCGAGAAAGATTCATAATGAGGCTATCAAGAAAAAGAATATTTCTCACTGTAATGCAAAGTGGTGGATCGATCATTTTGTGTGCATGTTTGGCTTCCAGTGGATGAACAATAAGGACGGCCTCAAACATTTTCCACCTACAGCTCAAATTAACAGTTAGATAGTCTTACGTTGGATAAAGTTAGGTTTTCCAACAAGACAATGACCCTAAGACACACAAAGCTGGTTTTGGAATAGATGAGGGAGGCTAATAGTAAGTCCATTGGATGTTTTAGAAAGCTGGTCTTGCTCAAATTTCTTAAACGCTGTGTGCATCTGTTAAAAAAAACAAAAACTAAACAGATATTTAAGTTTTGCAGATGGTATAGGCATCTCTGGGACTGTGGTCTGCATCGAATGATGGGCTCCTTTCTTCACCTGAGTGGAAATGCACAAACTCTGACAGAGTGACCTTGTTGGTACAGAAATAGCTTATGATATGATAAGGCATTATTTACTGTACAAGGGTTAATAAATTGGATTAAATAACTGTGAATACATAGAGATGATTAACAATTAACTGCAAGTCATGGTTTTCTTGAGAGGGGCGAGGAAGATGGAAATTTAGAGATACATTTTGTTATCTAGTCCGAAAGATAAACAGTACAGGCTGGAATCCTGAACCACAGTGAGGCATGGTTTGAAAAATTACATATTTAATTGTCGTAAGAGACTTGTGACTTTACTCTGTATTAGGATGAATAAATTGAGAGTTGACTTGGACTTGACCTAATGACCAAACCTTCATGTTTTTATTTATTTTTGTTTTTCTCCTCAATAGGAAATTGTGTTGTACACAATGTTGTACGTTTTAAGGCACTTAGAAACAACATTACTATCAGTATCTGTTGCTTCCTCTAGGTACTATGTGGACAACACCACAGACATCCTCTTTGAGAGATGGTTCTACTGTGAGAATCTTGGAACACAATTAGTTCCAATAATCAAAGAGTGAGACATTTCATTTTTGGTTTTCCATTGCATGAAGCTTTTGAGTTTTATTAAAGTTTAATGTGTGTTGACCTGTTATTCATAGATTCATGGCATCTAAGCAGGCTAAGACAGGAAGACCTGATCAGAGTGAGTTTTCTGCTTTCACGTGTTTAATGTGGGATCTAAAATATTTCCTTTTATAAACAATAACTGTTTAAGTGTTTGTTTTTGGTTGAGCAGATGAGGTCTTCAGAGAGCCTCCATTCCAGCTGAATACCATGAACGTGATGACACCATTTTCTTTCAAAGACTGGCTGGAAAAACAAAGGCCATCCCTGGCTAACGGCGGACCTATCAATATCTTTGGAGCTCAGTTTGAGACGGAGGTAGGAGGTGTCACACTCTTTAAAAGAAATTTACTGGTTCCTATAAATACTTTTACATAATAGCAAGAATTGAGGACTCAAAGCTTGAATTACTTTGAATCTTCTCTTCTCTGTGAAACAAGTCATTTGTAAGGTGGCAAAGAAAACCATTTATCAGAATTTAGACAACGCATTATAGAATGTGCCTAAGCATAATCTGTTTATCTCTAATACTAAATCTGTTCTATCAATCTAGCAGCACATCTATAGAGACTGCATGTCGCATTATCTTACAAAAGCAAGCTTCCATTGTAACATTAGACTTTCTTCTGAAGTTAAGAACACAGAGTGTGTAATTACAGATAAATGACAAGATTAGTATTTCCTCTGGGAGAATGAGACGGGCTTAGAAGCTGCATGTTCCTTCATGTCAGATTATTCACCAACACAAACCCAAAGAAATGTAATTCATTTAATTTTAATGTATCTTGTTTTTATATAAATTATATTTGTTGCACTGGCACAAATATGTTTATTGGAGGAGGAATCTATCTCAACTAACATCAGGGGCATGAAGTGGGAGAATTTCCTCCCACAGACAGATGCCAGAGTTTTATTTCCTGGTTATTAAACAAAGGTGTTTGGAATGTGGGGAAAGCCAAGGCGGGTGATACTGGAAAACTGGGAAGCTTTTCCCTTTAAAGCTACTTCCAAATAATTGTCTCTCATGTAATCATTAAAAGGTGAAATTAAACAACATAACTGACCCAAAATGTAGATTACGTTCTAGATTTAAAATGTCTGCGGTGCCTTTCTATGATATTGAATAAAAGAAGTGACCCTTTTTTTTCAATACTTTGACAGGCAATGGTGTTTGGACCTGGCCTGACTGAGACCTCCATCCAGCAAACTGATGTTTGGATTTGGCAGCTGGTACTTAAAGCCTTATGTCTAATCATCTCTATTAAACCAACACAGGCTCCTTACAGTTAATCCTATCTCCATATCTTTATTCTTCTTTCTCAGGAGGGATCTTCAAGAGTGACCATTGCGGATCAGCCATTTAATCTGACTTCAGGAGACAGTTTGCTCATCCCTGAGCAAAGCCAGTGAGTCCATTTCAACAAGCTATGACAGCAGAGGCCGTGACGATAAAAACAAGCAAACAAACAAACAAACAAACAAACAAACAAACAAACAAACAAACAAACAAACAAACAAACAAACAAACAAACAAATCTGGTCATTGGTGCTTTTTAATTTCAAAATTTTAATTTGTTATTTTATATATAAAACAAATCTCTTTCTGACTTCAGGAAATTGTATCAAACAGACTCATGCACTGAATCCTGTTGTACTGCAGAAGTAACTGAACTTAAGATTTGCCCTCAGCATACACAAACTTTGCAACTCTGCAACAAATATAAAAAGTAGGGCTGTTGCATTAATTCTGTTACTATGTTTTAGCCTCTGGAAAAGAATAATCACTCTTTAAATATTTCAGACGAGCAAGTTTTTAAACATCACCCCTCCACTACTAAGCTTCACAGTTGATGTTTGGTGTTTTCCAAACAGCATTATACTTTCATTTTAAAAGTTTTCCATTTAGTTTCATGTATTAAAAAATATGTATTATTTTATTCATAATTTATTGATAATTATGCATAATTATCCTTGAAACATTACCAAAGCCTAATGAGGGAAACCAAAGAGGGAAACAGATTTAATTTAACAGACATTCAGCATGCAGACTCAGACCTTTTCAAGTCTTGAACAGTTTGCTTTGGATTAGTAGCTTCAATCTGCTGCCAACCTTTTAAAAAAGAGGTGTGTCAAGTAAAAAAGAACAACAATGTTCAGCCTAAGGGTAAACAATGTTTCCCACTTTACTTGTAAACTATAAGTAGAAAGTTTCCCATGTCGATAAGTGGGTGCTCAGAGTTTTTTGTTATTGTAATATCACACTTGCATATTCCAGGTTAGCATAGTGCAGGAAATCCTTATTAACTGTTAAATCATTTATTTAGGGATTCCGATTACCATCTCCTAGCAGATTAAATAAATAAGTTATGGCTGTAATACCTTTTTCCCCCCCCCATTTAAAATAAGGTTTTGACCATAAATATCAAACTTCAAAGTTCTTTACCAATAACTATCTTTAGAAGGATTCTGATAGTAATTGATAGTAATGTGTGTTTTAGTTTTTTTTTATTTGCATCTAAAGTTTCTTTGTCTTTGCAGATTCCAGTGGCAGAGGAATGAGGGGACCGTTGCCCTGTTTGTTGTGCAAAATCCGGAGCGCAAGAGAACCTGATTTTGAACTAAATACCTGAAAATTAAAGTTAAATACATAGCATAAGGAAGATAGGTATTAAGTCAACAGTACATTTTATAACATTTTGCTACTGACCTAAAACTCTCACCAGAGGTCAGTAGCATCTCAACTAATCCACACATACAAGGAAATCCAAACATATCAATGGCTGTTACTTATTGTTTTCTTTGAAGCCTATTTCTGATGGGTTCAGCAATTTCTCCTTGGCTTCAGCACAGCTCGTCTTTTTTCTTCAGTCATAAATTCTGGATTATAACAGTGCTGGTTGTGAGATTAGGATGTTTAAAAGAAAGTTTGTAAGCAGCGCCATCAGTATGTTTTGCAGTGATTAGGTTCTAAGTGTGTTGTTGGTAAAAATATTCAACTATACTACTTCATTTAAATGAACGGAGAGGTAATCAGTCATTTGGCTGCTTTATTTGGTCCCTGAAAAGATGAGAACAAGGCGATAATGACAGCCCTTCCAGCTCAGGTGCTCGGTCCTGTTCTGACATGGACAACAAAGTTTTCTAACTATCTTAAATTTACACAAAGAGCTGTGAAGGTTTTGATTAAAACAAATTACAGAAAGTTTTATCAAGCAGATAGATGTTGAAAAATCCTTGAGTCTAAAGGAGCCTGGGACCTTTTCTAAACATCCATAAGAAATAAAATAACCCCTCACGCCCACATTTTGTATAAACACACAAAAATGGGACAACCTGAGCGATTAACATGCATCATTGGTAAAATGGAGGAAGAAAAGGACATAAATGTTTTACTCCACAATCTCTAGAGAGCTTTTGCTTGGAGCTAATACATTGGTAATAGGAATTTGTGCTGACCAGAGGGACTTTTAAGCTATTTTCCTTGATACCATACTTACATTTTAATATATTTTCCTTGTGCTATTTTACTTCATAAACTTAAATCTATTCAGTCACTTAAAAATTGTGTCAATTCCACATAAACAATCCCATTAGTTATACATTTTATGAGAAAAAATGCTGAATTGTTCAATAAGCTGTGTGTGATTGATCACTATGAATGATTACTTGCATCAAATAATGCAAATTTAGCTTAGTTTATTTCTTTGGTCAACTTAAACATTATTAACAAAACTAGTATCTAATTTTGACACTATAGCTGAGTGCTAAGAATACAGAAATAAAAGTGATGTGACATGAATTCGCTATTTCTTTCCTTTTGTATTATAATAGAAGTTTTTTGTTTTTTTTTAAAGTTATCTCCATGATAAAAAATCATGGAGACAAAGCCCTGCAGAAAAAAAAATGTACCTTCAAGTTTTGACATGTTCCAGGAATTAAAACCTGCTGAAAGATAACAGCAGCAGTCAGGTTTTTATATCCTCAACATTATGTCAAAACTTCCTGCTTTTCAGCTAATGATATATATATATATATATAATGATATATATCTATAAACCTACTTGGCAATCAACTTGATTCTGGTTCTAATTCTGTTAAAAAAAAATGAAAAGGTTGCATTTTTGCTCAAGAGGACCTGATAAAAAAAACCCCACCCAACCACTAAATAAACCTCCCACACATTACATATTTTGCACCATTAAGACAAAATGCATCATGAAGGAGCAGGAAAATACATATTTTTATTATTGCACCATTTAGAATTAAGAATACAGTTAACGTAGAATAGTGCAAAAATTACATCCAATGTAATGTGATTTTGGAAGATAATCATGCAATCAGTTGTTTTTCAGTCTTATCCTTAGTGTATTCCTGATTACATGCTGCTCTGCTATAAATGCTGCAACAGCCCAGGCCAGTCCATACTCCAGAGTCACCAGTCCACCCAGATTGTATCGATGGGTTGAGTAATCCCAGGGACAGGCCCCTAGAAGACTCAGCCCCACCCCCCAGCTGAATTCCCATGTGTAAATGACTAAAGTATAAGCTGTCAGTCGCACAGGAAGTGAGAAGTGCTGGGCCAGGAGCCGGGTCCTCAGGCCTTCCATGAAAAAGATTGCAGTGGCGTACATGGGCAGTGCCCACAGGCTGCTGTGTCCCGTCAGCCTCCTGTCCCGGGTGCTGCACCAATCATACACAGCTGTGAAGGCCACCTCACAGAGGCAGCCGTGCAGAGCGTACACATACAGACGAAATACGGCTGAGAGCGGGTAAAAGGAGGTGTTGTCATCAGGCTCTGCTGAGGACTCATCTCCATTAACTATCCCTGCAACACATATAAGCACATGATGTGGTGTCAGAGGAACAGCATAGCATGCTGAATCAGAATAACCTTAGAGGAACAGGAATAATAAAATAAATAAAGCTAGAAAAGATTTTAAAAAGTTTAGTTGTTAGTTATGGAATAACTTAGATGAGGAATAACAAAGGTAAAAATGGTAGACATCTTATGAAGGCGAAATAAATCCTTATTTCTTGAAAGTTACAAAGTTATACCATCACTTTTACTGAACAATTTCTGTCATGTTTAGTTGCATAAGGTAAGAAAACTGTAGATATGTTTGCTTTTGCTATGTCAGAATTGTAAAATAGGGTTGGGCATTATTAGTACCCGTTTATTGCAGGTACTAATAAAGGTTCTCCCTCTCCAAAGTCTAGGGATTTACATAGACATATACCACTACCTCATACCTTTACTGGATTACTTAAACACATTTCTTTTGTCATTTTCAGCAATTCTGCTGTAATTTGCATCTGCTTTATGAATCACTGTCCTATCTTTGCCAAGCTTCAGTTATCAGATAGCCACACAATGGACTCCAGAATTCCAAAGTCAAATTATTGAATCCACGGTGACATGGCTGAATGTGCAAATTATCTTTTTTTGCAGATATCCTCTACTTAATTTGTTTACAAATTTACAAACATTTTCCTGCTTCCATATCATCTGTATTTTATTAAGAGAAAAATAATGTCTTCTTACTACCCTTCCTAAGAGGTCAAAATTGTTACTTCTTTTTCAAATTAGACTGCCATAATCTTTGAAATATATTTATTTAATTAAGCACAGAAGAATCCCAGACAACATTCTCTGTTTCAGTTTTATTTTTCCGTTGCACAATCTAATCTTGGAATCCTGGAATACCAATCCCTAATAACATTAGCTGCTGTTTTGGAAGCTTTAACCTTAGAAAAGTAATTGTCACTGTGGAATTATGTGCACCCAAATGTCTGGAAGATGCATTATATTGGACACCAGTAGCTTCCCTAAACTTACAGCTGGTGTTTTTCCATTCTGGCATTGTATACACCAAAGATGGCAAACTAACAAAGCTTTTGTTTTAATAGAGATAGAAAAACCACATCAAGTTTGTCTGTTTGGCAGCACATGGCTGCCTGCTCTCTTAAATCAAAATGAAGCAATATCCATTTCAGTTCGGCTCCGTCTTTGATAAATAATGAGGAATAATCAGGAGTCCGTTGAGTGCTTTTCTACACTTGAGATTAGTTTTAAAGAAACTCCTTTTACCATGCCTGTATTTACAAAACCTTTACACACATTGACCAGTTATGTTAAACCATAACTACCTATTGCCAAAGAATGTATCACTCTTGTTCAAATTCATTAATTTTTATGACGGTTGTCTCAGTTTCAAAATGAATGTAAAAAATATTCAAAATTGTAAATAAAAAATCCCTGATAGGACTTAAACGAAGCCATAAAACTGTCAGAAGGTGTGCCCAATAGGTGATAATAGCATAAGCAGTTTAATGTTTAATATTTTTCACCCAGCAATAAGTGTATCTAAGAATGAAGGCACACCTAAACAGGATTGATGGGTTCTGAGATAGCCTGAAGGGATTTAATTTGTTCCTCTGGTGCACAGGCATCATGAATGAAATCTCTACCAATTGTCTGGGTGTTGGTTTGTTGGCAAGAGTTTTTTTTTTTTTTTTGTAAATAACAAGTTCTACTTAAACCAAGGGTGTAACTTTGTAATAAAAGTTGGTGAGGACGCTCTAAGGATAGTGGCTGATGGACCTACAGCTACTCAACCCGAACGCTTTCAATAGGACTTATATTATCCAAAAATGAGCTAAAACATATTTTTATTGAATGCTTTCCTATTGTTGGCAACACAAGAGAACCATAATAAACTGATATTTATAGTTATAGACAGATGCCTACCTTTAGTACATTATTTATTAAGGGCTCAAAAACATTAATGTATAAAATATGATGAATAACAGCCGATATCCAATGCCAAGATCAATATATCATGCATCCCTAGTATGGACTCAACTTCAATTCCGTCCATCCATGCATGGCTTCCCTTTAAGCTGCATCAGTGATTATTCTCCTTCACAAGCTGCAAAATCAAAATTAGGAATCTGTCCCAAATGTTGTTGACAGCCAAAGTCTATATGTTGAACCTTATATTTCAAAATCACTTATACACTGATTTTTGTTATTTTTGCTTTACTTCTTGTAGGTTTCTTATTTTAAATCTGTGTCCTGTGAGTCTGATTGTCTCTAGGTTTGCTGTCACAGCTATTTCTGAGTGTTGATATGTTGAATTTTATTATAGCATTGCATATTTTTTCTTGTAAACTTGGAGATATGTTTTATTGCATGCTGCATATCCCATTAAACCTATTTCACCTTTAAATCTGCAGCCGTGCCTAATTGTGTCTCTGCTCTGCTTAAAAACAAATTTATGAACCTGTCTACCAATATAATGATGCCAGAGAAAATAATTTTCAAGATATCTACAAGCTCTGCAGTCCGATTCTCTGTTCAATAAGAAAATAACAGATACTGTATGTGTTCATTTTAATCTGTAACTCTGAGTAAAGGTCCTCTGAGAAGCCCAGCTTTTTCAACTTGTATAAATGTACACTCAGCCTTTTTTAGCAGAAAAAGCTCAGTATGTCTAACAAACAGATTTTTTGGTGGCATCTCTAATTTTTTTAATCAACCCGTCTCCTAAATTTTGCTGTGAATTGTGACTCCAAAATAATATTATGTCCCAAAGCAACAGATCAGATGATGTTACACCAAGAGGTGGGTCTCGAGAGGGTGAGGAAAAAAACGGACTCAGAATCCCATGAACACAGACAGCTGCACCTAACTCCAGTTACTGTTGGCTAAAGTAAATCAGCAAAAGGGGGAAAAAAAGCGGAAAATATTGATGGGGACATATCCACTCCATGCCAAAGTTGGTGGGGACATGTCCACACCAGTCCTTCAGAAAGATACGCCAGTGACTTAAACTATTGTTGTTTAAGTGTGGATTGACTTTTTTAGTGTCAATAAATAAAACCAAAATTAAGAAATAAGGGTAAATGTTTCAATTTACTCTAGATTATTTTTTTAAATATAAATTTCCAGCTCAGGGCAGAAACACCAATGGTTAAATATGGAAATTATATCCCCCTGATGGCAGCTGCACCTAGGAACTTGAACCCCAAACAAGTTCACCTCCTGCTCCTACCTCATAAGTCTATGTGTTGCATCAGGTGGATGCTTAACTGTCCGTATCAGAAACTGACACGCCATCCATGCCCTGACCTTTATGCATCTTGCCTCTATGCCCCAGGATTACAGATAGTTCTCCTCTATCAGTCTGTCTCCAAGATGTGTCCTTGTACTGTGTATTTTAAAAGACACAAAGGCTGTACTGATTAGATGACCTCCGTACAGACAGTGACATCCACCATGTGAAGGAAGGCCTTCTACTCTGTCTAATCTGGCTAACAGAGTAACAATGCACATGATTTATAAAGAATAAAGCTAACAATTATTTATATCACTTTAGCCTTTTATAAACAGGAAGCCACTTGTTGTACTGACAGGTGCCCTGTGTTTACACTTTTGTTGTGTCCCAATTCAGAGGGTGCATCCTTCAAAGGACCTGGCCCACATAGACCGGCTCTATAAAAGACCTGAAAAAAAAACGGAGCCCAGAAGTGATCACCTGTGAATTGGGACTCTCTTTGCATGATTTGATTTGCAAACAGGTAAATTGGATTAGATTGAGATGCAACTGCTCCCATGTAGAATATTTTAAACAGCTATATTGCCCTGATGTATTGTAAAATCCACACCAGATTTTTAGTGCATTTTTGTGGCCGGCTATTCATCACAGTTGTAAGGTAAAATGATGACCTCACTTTAATCCTATCCACTTAGAAAAAAGGCAAAATCTTAAATTAAATACATCAAATTGGAGCTCCTAGCTTCCGCTCCACTTCCTATTTCTTTACCTTTGGCAGAGTCAACATTAGGAATGCTATGATGGTTAAGAAAGGTTCTCTGGACTACTGTAACAAATACACACAGTGTTTAGCGTTCAGGACATTATTATGCAATGGAAACTCGCATGCAAGATGTTACTCAAATTGGGACAACAATCTTTAAAAAAAAAACAACAAACGGTTACAATAAAATTGTCTTCTGTCCAGCCGTATACATTTTTTCCAAACAATCTATTCTCTTAGTTTTGTAGCATTTCTCTGAGCTGCACTGATTCCATTACATTTATGTGGTTGCTATATTATTTGTCCTATCAGATTTCAGACTTAGTGTGTTGCTATGACAATCAAATCTGCCCAGGGCCTTCAGAATCAGCGGTGCTGGCTGATGTTACCTTAACTATCTAGAGGGCCCACCTGAGTGCCACCCTTTTCTGTCCTCTGATTGGTCAACTAGAGCAAAATGTTTACAGACAATTTAAGCTTGTGACAATCTGCTAATATTTTGTAGCTGTAACTTGGCATGCAATTTGGTGTTTCATCAGTTGATTAAAATAGGACATATAAGTACATTTGCAAAGTGCTATAGCTGCAGCTATAACACACAACACAAGTCTTCCAATCACATATATTTTTTTATTCTGGCACTGATTAAAAAAAAAAAAAGATTTTATCTGGAAGGCTTTTATTTTAGCCTGAAGCAGTCTGAATTTATTTTGATTTTCTTACTGACTGTTTTTATTTCCTGAATGGTCTTGGCTACATCTATTAATTCTGAGCTCCTTAACTCTGACACCCCATCTTGTGATCTTGCATCTTCCAATAAGCTTTTACTTTCCACTCTCAGAGTTTGGGTTATGACAGAAGTAGATACGAATTTTGTGGTCAGGACTCCCAGCTTGTGGAGTTCTCTTTCTCTAAGACTTATCCAGTCATCTTCACCTAAATCATTGGTTAAAACGTAATTATATAATATATCATATGGATTTGTATATGTGAAAATCTCTTGTC